GGTTATCCAAATGCTACTGAATAGAAAACCTTGGATCCCTAAATGATGTGTAATTAAAATTATTTTAAAAATCCTCCTTGACAGGCCAGGGCTTAGCCAAAATGTAAATGACATTAAAGAAGACAATGAATTTAATTTTATTTAATGTCCCTTTTTGCAGATCCTCATTTACATAGCATTTTTAACAAAAGCGTTGACCTTATAAATGCTGGCATTTGTACAGCTTCTGCAGAGTTGGATTTAATCATGCTTTCGCAAAGCCATAAGGGAAAAAGCTTTAAGTTCTCTGGTTGGATATGGAGTAGGAATAAAAACATTGGGACTGGTCAAATGTTTATCCTCCTTGCTTCTGAAAACAACCTGACAAGAAGATGTAAAGGTCTAGGGAATAACCCATTGCTGTTTGTAAGGCTTGGTAATAATCATACATAATCGTTTGGAAATATAGCTAATAAAAAATATAATGAGTGTTCAGCAAAATCGGCATTAGGCCCAAATTACATGATATTAATACTTGAACAGGTGCAGAAAGGCGCTTTAAATGAGGTAAATGAATAAAATGTCCCAGAGCACAACTGTGTGCACTGACAAAAAGTCAATCACATGAATAATTCAGCGGCCGGGACTGCCAGCAAAGGTCAGCGGCTCTCACCTTTGTGACGGGAAGTGAAAGGAAACGCTGCTGACGAAAAAAAAAAACCCCCACCGCCCTCCAGCCACCGAAGGTGTAAACTTGGAGTAGGAAGGAATTAAAGCATCACACGGGCAAGCCAGAGTAAAATAAATAAATAAATAAATAAATAAGGATTAAAAAAAAAAACCCAAACAAAACACAACACCAAAGCTCAGCGTGAACAGTCAACTCGTTTAGGGAAAATAATCTGAAATTACAGCCAGGGAAAGGTTAAAGGGGGGGGTGGCTACCAGCAATGTCAATTATCTACAAAATCTGAGGTCAGTTGAAAAGTATTTTAAGAGCCTACGGGATTGAAATTTTGTAACAGCTGTTAAATATGACAAAACTTTTTATTCCCCCAAACTAAAGCTATTCCAAACTCCCTATGAAAGAAATGGGATAAACAGATGTCTGGCTTCCGTACAGGAAAGTAGGACACACTTGGAATGATAAGTCTCCGAAACTCTGTAGAATAATGCCAGATTTATTGGGGAGGGGGGTATTTACTACCCACGGAGATGCCAGCTAGCAGTAGGACTGTGATGGTACCATCTGGAAAGCCGCTGCAGAACACGCGAGCGGTGATGCACCGCGAGCACGGCCGGCGCTCCGCCAGCAAGCTGCCACCCCACGCCAGGACCGGGGTGTGATCCCACCACCACCATCACCAACCACCACCCCGACCCCTGCCCAACAGTCCTGGAGAACCTCCGGGTAAAGAGCCTGAGAAGGGATGGCAAAGTCAAGAGGATGGATCCGAGCAGGAGTGACCGTACCTTCCAATGAGATATAGGATGGTGGCACCGAGGAATTATTTTAGCACAGAGTGTGGTTTTGGTTTAGCAGCTCCAGCGGCATCCTGTAATCATTTACAGCCCTTGGAATGTTCGGGTGAAATAGGAGAGATTTATCTGTTCATAGTTGTGATATGTAGACAATGGGTGTTCCTAATGAGGAACATCTGCTTTTGTGTTTTCCCAGAAAACATTATTCCACTATGAAAATGATACTCCCATCCTTTTCAGCAACACCGCAAAGAAAATATGGGCCTTTTCCTTTCTTTTATTTGCTTTTCTTTGGGTCAATCTAATTTCCCAGGGACACTTTTTTTTTTCTGTGGCATCTTTTTCCTGACTGCGCTGCAATTTATGGTGGGTTTGTTCTTGAATACGTGAGTTACTGTGCTGTATGAATAGCCCTGATATGCCAGAAGATCCTTAAATGTACACGGTGCTAAAAGCCTGCGTGCTCAGCCACGCTCCGTGAGAAACCTCGAGTTGACGTAAATAAAAATCCCCCACAAATTAAAAGGTCGCAGAGGCAGGCAACACAGAAAGCTGCTTCCAAGGCCTCTAGTTTTGGGGTGTTTTGGGTTTTTTTTTTTTTTACATTTAAAGCCCACTGCAGATTCAAACCTATAATTACAGAAGTTTAAATTACATCAGTTTATTTAAAATATCTTAATTGCTAACAAATTATTATTCCTGAGGTGCATAAGGGGTTTCCCCCCCCTCTTTTTTCTTTTTTTTTTTTTTTTTCCCTTGGTGCAATAAACAATTCAGACTATCACAGAGACTCCTAGTGTGGGCTGGAACAAATGGGTGGCCATAGATCTCAATTCAGCATTGAATTATTGGTTTGTATCCTGAGGACAAATATGCCTTATCTGGTCAAAAGCTGCTAAATGTATCCAAAGGACAAAAGGATCTAGTGAAGCATATTGTATATAATTCTTTCTTTAAGCCAACTAACCAAGCGGTAACACTTTCTTATGGGCAACTGTAAATTGACCCCACAAATCTGATGGGGGAAAATGTTGTTCTG